AACACAAAGATTATACACTCATAAAAACATACCTATGAATATTATATTCCATTTCTGACAATAGATCCTGGACCTTTAAGTCATACTTTTGTCAACTTTAGACTGTATTTATTCAGGGGCTTGTGCAACATTTCATGTCTGGTATATTTTGTTAACCCATTAATAACTATATTTAGTATGGGGTGGAAAAGCCTCACAAGACGTATGGCTGCACATGACAAAATCTGAATTATTTATTTCACATAGTTATCATGCCTTCATTTGTAAATGTTCTTTTAAAAACTGCAATAATTGTTTAACATTCATTTGACACTTTAAATATCAGAGTTACACTAAATCAAACATTATTAAAATTAAAGTTGTTCTGAATCCAGTGTTGATATGACTATAGTTTTTACTTAACAGAGATACAGCCATTTCTGTATCACACTACATTTAGTCATTAGCCACTAGGGGTTACACATTTTATCCCATGGGAATACATTATAAAATGTCTAAGGTCTGCACAATGGAAATACTGGACCAAGACAAAGCAACAAACACTTTTTTTTTGTTCTAAGGTATTAAAAAAGTATTGTGTTGGTATCAGTAGCATAATACATGGTATTAGCACATGTATTTGCTCAGCAGACTAGGATAAATCATGTGAATCAGCAGTCCCCAAACTGTGATAAACTGTACAATGAACCCAAACAGTGAACGCAATAACTGCAGGAAGTTGTAAAACAAGCCATTTGGAAGAATTTTGAGCAGATTGATCAGAGATGAGTTCCTGTTGACAAATTCTGTGGTTTCATCTCGTTGTTTCAGCTATTTGGTTGTTTGAAGTTTTCTCATACAGGACAAGAGAGTGAATGCTCTGTGAATGCAGCTTGTGTTCAGGTCTTCAAAAGAGTAGATACTAAATAATAATCTAAACTTTAAAAATAACAACTTACTTCAGTTTACTTCGCAGAAATTAACAAAATGCTAAAAAAAAAGGTTATTACAATTAATTAAAACTAAACTAAAAGCAAAAACTAGGTGTGAAAAAACATCACAACTGAAATAAAAATAAAAGGTAGACTAGAAAAAAAACTGAAACAATATTGTGTTCTTGTGTTCGTACAACAAACAAAATTAACAGGTCATGTCTTTAGTTTTAGTCTTTGTCACTTTGGTCACATTTGTTACACACATGAGGTGCATCTTTTTACTGACACTGAAATGTCTACATGACTGTGAGTCAAATGAGTTTCAATTCTAATACCTATTCCGACAAATACCCCCCATATTATAATAATACAAATCTAATACTGAAACAATAAAAGCTAAAAACAAAATAAACTAATTAAAAATACAATACTATAATGATGTTGGGAACTACTGAATAGCCAGTGTTACCTGATACAGTGCAGTTTCATATAGGAACTAATGAGCAGCTGCACTTGATCTACATTTAAAGACTTAAAGGCTTCTTGTGCGCAGGCCAGTGTTGCCTGTGTGTGCGGTAGGTAGGTGCTTCGCATTCTCTGGCAACCCAGCAGCGTTTTGACAGCTGTGATGAAACCACACTGCTGGTGTTACACGTAAATCAAAAACAGACCTGTAACAGCCCCTCTGTACTGTTTTTTAATCTCTTTTAATGTTGTCCCCTATAAATCCTTTGCGGCCTTTAGGTTTATTTTCCAACTAACCTTCTGACCCTTTTAGCAGTTTCCAACACATTTAGGCTAACAGCATGTTCTAGACCAAGTTAAAAGTAGGATGATGAAATGCTGTGTAATATCATACTTCCCACCCAAACAACCCAGGTCTCTGACAATAAGGGCTAGATGCTGATACTTGTTGCTACATAGGGGCGTTCCCAAGCATTTCAACATCCATGTTCTGTATAGGGAATATAAACTGGGTTCAAGTAAGGTGCATACATATATCCATACATCATTAGAAAGTGCACAACATTTTGTCATCATCTCCTTATATAACCTATATTTTTCATGTCATATGTTGTCATACATTGATGTATGGCTGTCGTTTTGGTAGTAAATTTTACATTATTTTCATGTTTTGCCTCCCTGTTTGCTGCTTCAACAAACTGCCCCATAGTAATCATTCATTCATTTTATCTTATGCTCTAATAACACATTACAACTGTAATCCTATCCTGTTATTTTTTTACATTCCCCTGCCAGCTGAGTTTGGTTTCAATCTCTATAGCTCCACCGGAACGTCTGATGTAGGGGCGGGTAATACTCGTTGGTATTAAGTCCATGTAAAGAAACCATATTATTATTATTATAGTAAGACAGGAAAGAGTGACTCAGCTAAAATTTTTTATTTGCTTCCTTCAGGAATGAGCCTTGAAATCTCCATGTATAAATGTTAAAGAATGGGAGTCTGATTCATGGCTTAATAATAATAATAGTGACATCTGGAGAGACGTGTTCCAGTCGCCTCCATTGTGTTGGGTTGGATATCCCAAAACATCAACACACAGTGCACATGCCAGTTCCTTTAATTGCATCCATCTTTCCCTCACTTCGATCTTTTCCTGCATCTTCCACTCGCCGAAGACGTGAGGCAAGAGAAATCCAACATCCTTCCTTTGAACAGCCACCTAAAGCGACGGCCATTTCTGATGACTCATTTCTGTAGCATCCTGTGATGGTTTTGGAGTATAAATCCGACTTCGGGCAAAGAGTCATCATTACGGAACCTGCATTATTTATCTCAGATTAAAACTCCTTATTATCATGTTAACTTTGACAGTCCTGATTTTTATGTTAAAGGCTCCATGTGGAATGACACCGGTGGCCATTAAGTGAGCTGCAGTCAGCATCCAGGGCATCAGCCCAAACAGTGACATGAAGTACAAATGACTAAACGCTGAAAGAAGATAAGAGACAAGATAGACTTTATTGAACCCACACTGAGGAAATTCACTCACTACAGTAGCTCCAGATACAACACAACAGATAAAAAAATATACATTAAATAAAAACAGAATCGGAAAATACAAGATAAAAATAATGAAAATAGAAAAAATAGAATAAAATGATCCTGAATGCAGGAACATTTTAATTATATTTAGAATAACAATAGGCCTACTATCTTTAATGTTAATATATTTTATTTGTTTATTTACTTATTTGTTTTATTTACTAATTTACTAGTACTAGCAGTTTGCAAATGATCACATCACATAACACTATGAAGCAACCACCGGCCAACACCAGCTTAGCTTCGGTGGATCGTGGATCATGTCAGCTGGAGGAGTAATTTGGCAAGCTAGCCAGCTAAAATATCCACTCAGATAGTATTTTGCTAGCAATAACGTTAGCAAGCTAAGGTTAGCCAGCCAGCTGCAA